ACGAACAATCGAGACCTAGAGGGCTTCCGAAGGCTGCTTTTAATAGCGGAACTGATATAAGGACTCAGAAGTGGTTAGATAGGACACAGGAGGAACGAATGGAGCCGCTCGAAAAGATATCCTATCTCGGAAAGGGGAAAGAAAAGCAGGGAACTCAGGGTACCGCAAAAGTAATCTACGATCCTAATTATAGCGGAGAGAAGGAGGACAAGCAGGTAACTTAAGGTACTGCGGGAGTAATCTATAATCCTAATTATAGCGGAGAGAAGGAAGAAAGGCAAGCAAATCAAGGTATAGGTCTAGTAATCTATAGTCCGGAGACTAGCGAAGATTCGGATATACCGATTAGGCGGCGTATACGACAACTACCTCAACCGACAGCCTCTCCTAGACCAAGTAAAAGCCTCGCCAAAAGGAGGCGGGGACGTACGAAACTAGTCGCGAAAAAGTCCTATCTAGGGAATAAGAGGCCGATAGGGAGTCAACGGCCGCAGAAGAAGCCTATAATACGAAAGGTACCCAAAGCGAGAACTAAGCGACGAACAAAGCCTAGTATAGCTGCTCTTCGCGAGATTAGGAGATACTAGAAGACGACCGAGCTGTTAATACGTCGACTACTATTCTAGAGGATCTGTCGGGAAGTTACTATAGATATCGCAAGTAAATCTTCGAGTAGCGTATACCGGTTTTAAGTAGAGGCCCTCCTCTGTCTACAGGAAGCGACGGAAGCGTTTCTTACACTTGAGTTCGAAGTCTCTAATATGCTTGCAATACATACGAAACGAGTAACGTTGTAGCAAAAGGATATAGTACTTTGTCGATAGATTCGGAAGCGCTTCCTAGGGGAAAATAACGGAAAAGATGACTTTTAAGCTTTTGGGAATCTGCCGACTATATCTGCCGACCATGTCTGCCAACCATGTCTGCTAACCATGTCTTAGGGGAAGGATTAGGACTCCTACCGAGAAGACTTTCCGATAATATTTACTACCTATACCGACCGTACCTGCCGACCGTACCTGCTGACCGTACCTGCCGACCGTACCTGCCGACCGTACCTGCCGACCGTACCTGCCGACCGTACCTGCCGACCGTACCTGCTGACCGTGCCTGCCGGTTACTCCCGGCAATTGAAGATTACGTACGCAAACCTTATTTGGATCTCGTATAAAGTGCGCATGTGTTATTACTTAGGTAGCAAACAATCCGTAGCCTCTGATTGGCCGAGCGGTTGTCTCCTAACAATACAAAGTTACTCTCTACTTTAGAAAAAACCTAACTTACTACATTAACATTGCCCCCTTCCTTTCTCTCTCTCCTTACTACCTCTACTACACTATACTATACTATACTACCTCCGCTATACCACACTACACTACTACACTACACTACACTACCGCTACTACACCACACTAGCGCACCAATCCACTACAATAGCCTCGGCAATGTCGATTGCGCAGAAGCGCAAACAATCGATCGTACGCAAGACTCCTCGCACTGGTAGAAAGGGACTTCCTTCGCGCATAGGTAGTAAAAAGCTTCTAGGCACTCGTATTAAGAAGGGACATAGATATACCCTAGGTAGTAAGTAATTCCAGAATCCAGATTTGTAGTCGGCATTTGTGGTCGGCATTTGTGGTCGGCACTAACTTTCTCAAAGCATTGGCTCTCAAAGAGATCAGGAAGTGCTAGAAGGAGAGCCTGCTCTATATTAAGAAAACCCTATTTGCCAGACTTATTAAGGAGCTCGTTATAGATTAGGCTTATACACCTCTTCGCATTCAAGCAAGCGCTCTTAGCGTTCTTCAAGAATATACTGAGTCTCTCTTAGTAAGAATCTTTACCTGTAAGTCTTCCTATTTCTTATTCTTTCTAATTACTTACTTACTTACTTACCTCCTCTAGCGGCCAACCTTTTGGCCATCTACGCTAAGCGCGTCACACTCTAAGGCAAAGATATAGAGTGTCTTCGCTCGCTTCTCAAGGAGTAGGGTGTTTGGCCTGACGATTTCGTAGTCTGCCCTTACAATTCTGGTCCTATCAATCCCAATTTCATCTATATAGAGCTAAAGAAGAATAAGGCTACTAAGGCGCTGAAAGCAAAGGCTACGCCAAAATGCAAGCCTCTCCCAACTAAGTAGCCTCGACGAATCGTTAAAGACGATTCTGACGAGGATATACTAGACGCTACTTAGAATCCGACTGTAGAAAACAATAATGGCGAGGATACCACTACTTAGCAGGCAACTCTTGGTAAGTTACTCTTTTATCATTAATTATAATATACTAATTTAATAGCTTAGGATAATACTCCGCTACTCCTAGATAATAAGCAGGACGATGATAAGCAGGATGAAGATAAGCAGGAACAAGATGAGCAAGATCAAGATGTCCGAGATCAAGATGTCTAAGGTCGAGACTTTCAAGCTAGTTATGATTAAGAAGAGCTAGATAATGATTCTAGCGATAATGAGCAAACTCTTAAGCAGAGGCTAGAAGCCTATGCTAATAAGCTGGTAGCGGCAGCTTACGCGCTTACTATTGCGAAAGAGCGTTCAGAAGATAGCTTACGCCTTGCTTAGGAAACTCTCGAGGGAGACGCAAAGAAAATTGCGCGTCAGTTTCATCGTTGGCAGCGGCTGAATTTCGAGGATCAACTTTGCGCTTATCAAAAGATATAAGACGCTAAGGTAGAGGCCTTGAAGCAGTAAGCAAAGGAGCAAGCTGCTCTAGATACTCAGCTACTTACTAAGAACTAAGGTAGTTTCTATCCTTAGTATATAGTAGCTCATAACTATAATCAATTGGTTAGAGCTTCCCTTATTATTCTGGTAATCCCTTTTTGATTAGTATATATAGTCGGCATATATGGTCGGCAGCTGCAATAAACATAGAATATATTCCTATTAAATTCTACGCTCTAGGAATCAGGTAGTAGGTATATATCCCTTATTAATATTTCTTTCTACTATTTTGTAGGTATTCAACTCGTATTATGTAATACCTATTGCAATACCTATTGGGTATACCTACTAGGTTTTTACCGTTGGGTTGTACCCCGCTTATAAGCTAGGTACCTAGCTTATTTGTAGGGTTGGGTATTTAAGTTGGGTTGTACCTAACCTATACCCAACCCAACCTATAACGAGGCCTAGCGATACCTAGTAGGTATTGCGTACCTATTAGGTATTAAATCTTCGTATATAGAAATAAAAAACCTAGAAACCGGGTGCCCTAACGAGAGCGAAGAAGCGATTTATTTGGACTAGGCATAAGAAAAGAAACTGTATATAAACCCGATATAGATACGAAAGTAAAGATTATAGTTAAATTGAATGAAGAAACTCAGGATTATATATACGCTATGCTACAAGTTGTGATATTTTGAATCTTAAGAAATATAGTCGGCAAATATAGTCGGCAGGTAAACTTTATACAAGCTTAAAGCAATCTCCCTATAATCGTCTCGTAGCATCCCGGAGGCACTCTTACGCAAGCTTGAAGCTTAGGCGTACTGATCGCCTTGGCTCCTCTACTATATTACCCTCGTCATCGCTAATCGTATCTAAGTCACTAATCCGTTCTATAAGATCTTTCGTCTGCTCTCGGTCTTTACTAAGGATCTCCTATAAAGTTAGAGTACTAAGAAGCGCTTAGGAAACCTCTGTAGCCTCCTAGGCGATAAGAACTCTAGCATCGTACTTATCGTCC